ACATACGATCATTAGACTAACGCTAGCACATAAGCAGACATTCCAACTATCACAGCACAATCATTATCAAAAGCGATATACACATCATATTGTGAACCTTAGAGTATTATGAATAAGAACGACAAACTATCAAGATGGAAATAACTCAGTGGCTGGTTGTTGGGTGCTCTGGTATGGTTTGCTTCTTCTTTCCTATTAATCATCTATCATCTTTATCTCCCCTCCTTTTTGTGTTTGTTAATCCCTTGTAACACCTCTAATTTTCGACACTTATATGACCTTATTGTGTTGCAAGTGCCATAAAACAACTTAGTAAAACTAAACTAAACTAAAACGAAATAACTCACCACATTTTGTTTCCCCCCACACAGGGTGTGATGGTGGGTATGGGTCAGAAGGACAGCTATGTGGGTGACGAGGCTCAATCCAAGCGAGGAATCCTCACCCTCAAGTACCCCATCGAGCACGGCATTGTCACCAACTGGGACGACATGGAGAAGATCTGGCACCACACCTTCTACAACGAGCTCAGAGTGGCCCCAGAGGAACACCCCGTGCTGCTCACAGAAGCTCCCATGAATCCAAAAGCTAACAGGTCGGTCATTTTTTTTCCTGTTTATTTCTTAACATGTGTGTTTGTTTGTTTGATTGTCTGCTTGTTTGTTTGATTTATTGTTTGTTTGTTTTTTGATTATTTGTTTGTTTGTTTGGGTAAAGGCAAAGCTCATCGACACAATAATGGTAATTCTGTTTTGTTTGTTTTATTCAGGAAAGACAAAGTACATCGATACAATAACTATCACTCAAATTTTATTGTTATCATTTTTTGTTTGCTTCCTTTTGTCGTTCCACTGAGGAAAAATGGAACAGATCATATTCCGAATCTATCATTATAAGTAGAATTGTATAGACAGCGGATGATCTGTCAGTTTGTTGAGTGGCCCCTGCTATGGCCCATGAGACCAATTGGTCGCTTTTGATTTTAAAGACAAGAGGGCAAACCCAAATTTCGAGGGTTTCCAGAAATCTTTACTAACACCAAAAGTGGGCATTGCCCTACCTATAGGAGAAGTTTGGTTTCATTGGTGTGCATAATTTGTTTGGTTATAGAGAAAACTCTTCTTGTCTATTAAAGAAACAGAACAAGGGTCCAAAAACTTCACCTTCGGTTTTCTCAAAACAGCATTTTTTCAGGATAGTCCCCTTGTGCTGAAAAGCGACCAATTTGGGCAGAGAAAAGTTTGCCATATGTTTGGCGCTATTCTAGCTATCTTTCTTTTTATTATTATTATTATTATTATTATTATTATTATTATTATTATTATTATTATTATTATTATTATTATTATCATCATCATCATCATCATCATCTTGTGTGTCTCCTTAGAGAAAAGATGACACAGATCATGTTCGAGACCTTCAACAGCCCGGCCATGTACGTGTCTATCCAGGCCGTGCTCTCCCTCTACGCCTCGGGCAGAACCACAGGTTAGCGCGTGTATTGCTTTTTCTTGTTGCTGTTTTTCTCTCTCAAATTTTTGCGTTTGCTCGTTATTTCTGTGTTTTTTGTTCTGTCTCTGTACATGTCTCTGTTTCTGTCTCTATCTCTGTCTGTCTGTCTGTTGGTCTGCCTCTCCCCCTCCCCCAACCTCTTTTCTTTCTCTCCCACTCAAAATTTGGAATGTAAAAATATAAAGAACATTGCATGAGAAGCTCGAGAACAGACTCACCTCGCTAAGGAGCTCCCTAGCTAAATGTTGACTCATCAAGGCTATAAAGTCGTCAATACATTTACCCTTCTCCCGTTTTTTAACAACAGGCATCACAAGGCGTGCGCGTAAATATCTAAATTCGCTAATTCGCAACATTATATAGCTCTCACCTTCGATTAAAGAACACAGGCTCTGGGCGCTTTACAATTATAATAGCAAAACATAAACAGTACATTGTGTTCTGACTAAAAAATCAATACAGATCTCATTAATCGAAAAACAGAAATGACTTGAGCTGACGTTTGAAAGAAGTTTAAAAAAAAAAAGATCTCTCATAAATTACCAGGCATCGTGGTGAAAATAATCAGGAGCTTGCGAAAATAATGAATTCGAAGAAATTGACATTTTTCCGCCGTATTTTTTGTTGTTGATAATGTTGTTTTGAGTGAGAGGGGGGTGGGGGGCGCTCAGCACTTTTTACTTTTTGTGTTCATTTAAAAACAAATGTCTGTGTGGATTTAGCTGAAAAACTTTGATCAATGGCACAAACATGTAACATTTCATTTTTCATGGGCGCTCAAGCTTTGGAAGACACGAAACTTGCAGCCATTTCCTTTCCAATGTTACTCTGACACAAGGCAACCCCCACCTTTTTCAATGGCTAATATCTCAATTTCCATTCATGATTGATGAATATTCTTTTCTCGTCAAAAGTAAGAAAAAGGAACACGCTTTAAGATTGAACCAAAAGAGCCAAATGCTCAGAAATCAAAATCTGATGAAGTGCCCGATTCCACAATGCCAATACACATTTTGTAGTATTGTTTTGTTCTGTGGTTATCGTTGTTCCTGCTGTTGTTGTTGTTATGAAGTACAGGCTCACCAAACGTTGTTGTGTTGTATGTGTCAGGTATCGTGCTGGACTCTGGTGACGGCGTGTCCCACACTGTGCCTATCTA